AGTAAATTAAAACTGTTTCTACTTTATGGGGTCAGGCGGCTGCCACGTTTGAGTCTCCTGATGGAATCTGCAGAGCACAAACTTCTGGGAAAAGATGAACCAGACCGTCTTTGCTTCGCACCTTTGGCCCCTGAGGCCACCAGGTAGCAGAAAAGCTACAGACTTACAGGGCTGGGTCTAGGGCAGTGGTTCTCAACCTGTGGGTCTCGACCCCTTTAGGGGTCAAATGACCCTTTCACAGGGGTCGCCTAAGACCATTGGAAAACACAAATATTTCACAATATATAATTACATGTTGTTTTGTGCTTCATCACTATGCTTTAATTTATGTTTAATTATGTTCAATTTGTAACGCTGAACATACATCCTGCATATCAGATAATTACATGACGATACATAACAGTAGCAAAATTACAGTGATGAAGTAGCAACAAGAAGAGTTTGATGGTTGGGGGTCATCACAGCACGAGGGACTGTGTGAAAGGGTCTCTGCATTAGGACGGTGGGGAACCACTGGTCTAGAGGTTTGACCTTCTGCTTGCTGAAGAGCAGTCTTCTGTGGCAGGAGAGTTACATTGTGAACCCTGCCTTCCTTGCATCGTTGCAGGAGAGTTACTTTCTGAGCCCTGCCTTCCTTGCATCTTTGCCCGATGTCCCTGGAGGGCGCAGAGGGCTTGCACTCCGCTACCTTCTAACGGCCGGCGCTTCAGTCTCTCCCAGCAGTGCTGCAGAAGCAAACCCTGGCGATCTTCTTTGTAAAGTGGTAGCCAAGGAAAACCTCCGTTACTGATGATGTCGCCACGGGTCAGAATCGATCCCTAGAATAACAGGGTGTTTTGTCTCGTTTGGGGAAGGCGTCCTAGCAGGAGAGTTCCACCTCTGACATCTGATAAGTGGATGGATTATCTGGCTTGCGACAGGCTCTCTGACTGCAGTGGTACCGCGGGGCAGGGCGGGGAGCCCAGCCGGGCCCTGCAGCACACCGCAAAGTGGGCTCTTTCCTGAGTCGTGGTCACCAATCACAGGCGCTGTAGAGACTGGGCTTGCGTGAAGACATTCCCCATTACTCATTTTAATGAGGGTGGTGGTGTTTTCTCTAAATCTTCCAAAAGGATCAGAGATGGTTTCTGGTTCATTAAAAAAAAAAAGGCCGCCTTAGAAAAGAAAGCAATAAACCATCCCGGTTGGAGCTTGGCGAGGTTTTTGTTGTGCTTTTCCACCTCCCTTCTATCATTATTTATTTTTTTTCTCTATTTATCATGATGTTGCCTATTGGTCCAGCTGTGAAGGTTTAGTTTTCTTTTTTTTTTTTT